AAGATTCTTTTTTTTTTTTTGGCTTTGAAGATTATTTTATAAAGGCTTTATTTAAACTAAATTAAATTATCACATGGAAAAACATCAAGATTTGAAATCAAGAGGAGCATACAGTACGTCAAGGTTGTCCTATATTTCACCCTTTCTTTTCTTACTGGTAACACAAACTATGGCCCTGCATATTAAAAGAGAAACATTTTGAGGTAATAGAATTTTAGAGACAGAACTAAAAGGTTCTCAGTTAGCTGACAACACTGACATTTTTCTAAATAATGAAATAAAATTAAAACTGCTATTGATTGCCTCAATCTTTTTTCATCTGCATCTGGTTTATGTTTAAATATTAAAAAATGTGTGGTGTTCTCTCTGAAAATATGCAATGATACTAATATATATGGTATTCCAGTAAAGAAGATGGTAAAATATTTGGGTCAAAAAATTTGTAAAGATCAAAAAGAGAGAAGTAATCTGAATTTTACACCAATTATTAAGAAAACAAAACAAACATTAAACTTATGGTTAATGAGAGATTTGTCAATTAAAAGAAAAACATTATTAGCCAAAACAGAAGTTACATCACATTTAGTATAAACTGTTAAAGTCAGAATTATTGGCCCCCATGAATTATTAGCCCCGCAGCTTATTTTTATTGAATAACTATGGTTTATTCTGTAAACTATTGAAAAAATATAGCCTAAAGGGGCTAAATAATTTTGACCTTAAAATGTTTTTTTTTTATTAAAAAAAAAAAAATGGTATTGATGATACAGTTATTCAAAAGTAATAGACAACTTTTAATTATTGTGAATTTATTTCAATTACAAGATCCCCTTAACTGCTAAAGAATTTGCAATAGTATTTGATGCTATTTCTAGTGGACTTGTTCAGCTCTTATTCTGTAATTTATTCACTGAATCAAATATTTTACTTAGTAATCAGTTAAGTATCAATGGTGTGAAAATTATAGATAATAAATTGAATAACTGTTACATTAAAAGGTTTTGCAGAACCACATTGTTGCCTAAATGCAAATCTTTTTAAAATTCCTTATTTGAGCAAATTGAGTGGAAAAAAGTTTAAAACTTACCTAGTAAATACAGTCTTACCAATAAAGTTAAAGAAGTGACATATAAACTAATACATTTAATTTATCCAGTGAAACAAGTTGTTACAATTTTTTTTGAGACTTAGAATCTACGTGCACTTTTTGTGAATTAGATAATAATTGATAAAACCTGTTTTTTTTAAATGCACATATACCCAAATGTTTTGGTTTGATGTTGAATATCTTAAATCTAAACTTACAAAATTAAAAATTCAGTTTTCTTGTAAATTTTTTATTTTTTTTTTGATATGTAATAACAAAACTTTGGAGCAGAATTTGTTTATAATAACAATATTAATTTATTCAATATTAAATATTAATTTTAATGATAATGTATAGGAAGTACCGTGTACACAAACAAAAATGGTCCAATGATAGGCCTAATATTTATTTGTTTAAAAAATGATTTTCAGCATTATATTGAAACCCTAAAAGTCATAAAAACATAAAAAAGCTTCAAGGATGTGTGCAATTTTGGAATCATTTTCTTATGCAAATTTTTTTGTGGTTTATATATACCTGTAATTTATTTTGTTTGTTTTTTTATTCTCTACTGCAGTGGTCTGCAAACTTGTTCCTGGAGGGCCGGTGTCCTGCAGATGTTAGCTCCAACCCTAATCAAACACACCTGAACAAGCTAATCAAGGTCTTACTAGGTACACTTGAAACATCCAGGCAGGTGTTTTGAGGCGAGTGGGAGCTAAACCCTGCAGGGACACCGGCACCCCAGGACCGAGATTGGTGACCCCTGCTCTACTGATTTGTTCCTTTGATGTGAAAAAATATAAGTATTGTATTCCTCATTTTTGTATGCTATTGTTCTTGTTATGCAATAAAAAAGGCTGAAAAACACTAGCTGTCTATAGCTGAAACACTTTTTCATTGGCTGAAAAACACTAGCTGTTCATAGCCTATTGGCCACATAATGGATGCAATTGTCTGGTGTTCAGCTCAAGCAATGTGAGCATCCAAACCATTAATTTATTCACATAAAAATATAATGTTGAAACATCTGTCTGTGTAATAAGATGTGATTCTTCTAATACGTCATTTTTCAGCGGCACAATGTTTTTATATTTTTTTGTTCTGATCCTCTAGATAGAATAACCTTTGAAGGGACAGTTCACACATAAATTACAATTTACACTCTATTTACTCACCCTCAAGTGGTTTCAAACATTGACAAGTTTCTTTTTTCTATTGAACACTACATACTGTTTTGAAGAAAGCTGAAAACCTATAGGGTGGCACGGTGGCTCAGTGGTTAGCACTGTTGCCTCACAGCAAGAAGGTTGCTGGTTCGAGTCCCGGCTGAGCCAGTTGGCATTTCTGTGTGGTGTTTGCATGCTCTCCCTGTGTTCGCGTGGGTTTCCTCTGGGTACTCTGGTACCCCACTGTCCAAGGACGTGTGCTATAGGTGAATTGGATGAACTAAATAGACCTTGGTGTATGTGAGTGTGTGAGAATGAGTGTGTATGGGTGTTTCCCAGTACTAGGTTGCGCCTGGAAGGGCATTCGCAGTGTAAAACATATACTGTAATAGTTGGCTCATTCTGCTGTGGTGACCCCTGATAAATAAAAAAAACTAAGCCAAAGGAATGAATAAATGAAAACCTGTGCACATGGACTTCCATAGCAAAAAAAACATGGAATTAAGCGTTACAAGTTTCCTGCTTTCTTCAAAATATCCTCCTTTCTGCTCAACAGAAGAAGTCAAACAGGTCTGCAGCTAGTAAAGGGTCAATACATTATGACAGGATTTTTGGTTTTGGGTATAAACACTTCTTAAATACAGCAGAATTTGTAACTTAAACTGCTGTAGAGTGTAGTTTCAAGCCTAGTTAATCATATGAAACATGAAATTCAAGGTCACTTGATAACTAAAAAAATGACACACTCAAATCCATAGTGTTTTGAGATGAAATCATATATTCAAGTGACTATATATGAGAGAGAGTGTGCTCTGTGGACTTGGTGTGTGTTTTCGTTAGAGTTTGAAAAAAATGGGCTATATGCAATCATGGTCTTATAAAAGAAAACATTCAGAAATTGATTTTAAAATTGATGCCCAAAAAGTGCTTAGTGCTGGACAAAGCCAGAAAGTGTGAAAAAGAGTTGCTGGAGATTGTTGACACCCGTTACAAGTTAGATCAAAACCAGGCCGAGATTCATAATTTAAACAAACATTTTGAAATATATTTTATTTATATAAAATTGTTTCCTGAAAACACACGTCCTCTAACCTATAAGGAGAAAGAAAGGAAAATACTAGATTCAGTAGATTCAGATTATTATGTTATTAAATCCCATCCACACATCTTTACTCTAATTCATTTCTGACTTCAATTCTTTATACTTTAAATATACATACAAAAAGAAATAAAACTCTTCAAGTAGACTACTCCCACTGACATCATGAAGTAATGTGGACTATCAGTTCTGTTCAGATACCATGATATTTGCCGCCCTCAAGTGGTTGAGAAAGAGAATACTACCAATAAGAAAGTATTAGCGATGCAGCATTATACTGCAGAAGTACGGAATTAAATATTTATATAAGTGTTTGAACAAGTATTAACACAAGTAGATTTACATTTATAATATGATTTAATATTTATTTTAGCTTTATTTTAGGCATTATTATAAGAATTGTCAGGTATTATTTATGCAATATGTAGTCCAGCAAATTTTAAAACAAAACAAATTGATCTCAAGGACATTTTATTTGATGTCATAATTAGAACGTCAAAGTGGAATGTTAAGGCTTTACGGTGTAATTTAGTTTTAGTGGGTAGTTTGGAGTGAGACAGTGCGTTTGTTTTATCATGGGTCAGCGAATTTCTTGTCTGAATATAGCGACAGAGTCAGAGTGTGTGTACAGTTTACATCCTAGTACACCACTTCAGTTAAATAATGACACGCCTCGTCAAGAAAACCATCAGCTTGATGAGAGCCGTGTTGTTCCTTGTGAGGAAGATGGAGTAGGGAGTTTGGTAAAGGAGAAAAAGAAAGAGAAGAAAAAATCAAGTTTTTGGAGAAAGCTGTTCCGCTTTTCACGCCAAAGAACTGGAAGGGGTGAAAAGGTGAAGCAGGTGGACAGTGAGAAGGTGAAGCCAGTCACCGAAGCAGAACCTTCTACTGATGGTAAATCCCTTTATTTTTTGTGTGACTGGAATTTTTTTTTTTTTTTATAAAAATGATCACCATAGCTTTAAAATATTGTCTCTGCAAATATATGTATTTGTAAAAGGATTGAAACGTTTCTGTGTGGTTTTATTAAAGTAAATGTTGAATGTATGTTCCCCTCTTTAGATCAAACCTCAGTAGGAAACATCTCAAGCCCTGTTGAGCATCATGACCACCAGCAAGCTCCTAACAGCCTTGAGGTTCCTTCCTCCATCACTGACCTGCAAATACAGGAACAGTGTGAGAATGTGGAGCTGGAGGAAGAAACGTCTACTGATGGTAAATCTCTTCATCTTTTGTGTTTACTGAACTTAATCATTAAAGAAGATCATCATAGCTTTAAACATTTGCAGAGTTCAAATGTTCAGATGTGCAGATGTTTGTGTATCTGAACTCTTCAGTTTTGTCTTTGTAAATAATATAAATGTATTATTTGTAGCAGTATTGAAATGTTTGTGTGTTTATATATAATTGTTATATTTTTCTCTTTAGATCCAACTTCAGTGGAGACCATATCTTCTGTAGAGAGTAATGGTCCTCAGAACACTCCCAACAGTAGTTTTGAGATTCCTCTCTTCACTGTTGACGAGCAAATCCAGGAGTTTCCAGATGATCTGTCAGAGGAGGAAACTGTGTGTCCTCTGGCAGAAAACCCAAACCAAGACATGGTCTTGATTATTGGGAGTAAGTTCATATTAATTATGGTTGCTTGATGCTTTCACTTTTTGAAAGGATTAGATGTTTCTGCATTATGTATTAGTGACGTAATGGTGTATAAAGTGGTAATAAAGTTTTACTTTTGCATTGTAGAATATGAATCTGTCTCTAAAACTAATTATATTTGAACAGGCATGTGCTGGACCTACAACATGGGTGAGCTACTGGGAGAAGGAGGATTTGGTGCCGTATATGCTGGTGTCCGTGCCCATGATGGTCTTCCGGTAAATGTATATATATTTTTGCATAATCAACCTAACAAACTATATTTATGTGTTATGTTTTGTCTTTTGTTACACAACTAGAGCCCTTAATAAATAGTCAACCTGACCAAACATGCTACAAATTTATGACTAGAATTTCAACAAGGATTATTGAATGGCCTGAAGTAATCCAGTGCTAACTGTTATATTCTGTTTTGTTGATCAGGTGGCAATCAAGTTTGCCAAAAAAATGGAGGGCATGGAATATCTCTACGTTGTAAGTAGACTGTCGTCTCTATGTGATCTTCATTAACTCTTTAACTCTCTGTTTTTGCTTTTACTGACAATGTTAATCATAGACAGCAAACTATCTCTCAATAAACAAATTATAAACATGTTGTGTAAACCACCTTAATTTAACCATCCTAAAAACTCTTTCCACTAGCCTGGCCTTCCAGAACTTGTACCACTTGAAATCGGCCTTACACTTATGGCAAACAAGGGTCCCAGCTCACCCAACATAATAGATCTGCTGGATTGGCAGGACTTTCCAGACCATTATATAATGGTCCTGCAGCGCCCTTCACCATGCCTGAGTGTGTTCAAGCTGTTGGAGAGCTGTGGCAACATCTTTGAAGAAAGGTTTGCTCGGTATGTGATGCGCCAGGTTATCGAGGCAGCTGAGACCTGCTGCCGGCGCGGAGTATTCCACAGAGATATAAAATTGGAGAACTTGATCATCAACACACACACCATGGATGTCACATTGATTGACTTCGGCTGTGGGAACCTGTTCCATGAAACAGAGTACCACACTTTTAGTGGTATGTACAGTATTAAAACTTTAGTGTCATGACACACAAGCTGCTGAATACAGTAAAAACAAACTGTTGTAACTCAGACATGCAAATCTCTTTCCTCCAGGCACAGAGATGTACTGCCCTCCAGAGTTTTTCGGAACGGGCAAATACTTAGCACGGCCAGCAACCGTGTATTCGCTTGGAGTGCTGCTATACACTATGGTGTGCGGATATATGCCAGTCTACACGGATCGGGAAAAGATGCAGCACTGGCTATGGTATCTGCCGTCCTTGTCGTGTGGTAAGAACTTGAAAAAATTGTAACAATCATACAAAAAAGTGTCTTACAAAGCCACTTGGCTCAGCTGTCCAAAATGCCATCAGGAGATGTAAAGGATGTTTAAAGTAATAGTCAAACATTAATCCTGTCTTTCAGAATGCAGTCATCTCATAAATGCCTGTCTGCATCCCGATCCCAGCGAGAGGATACAACTGGAGCAGATCCTCCTCCACGACTGGTTTACGGTACCTATGATCTACAAAAACTTTTCAAAATGTCAGTTTTTTGGGGACAATAAACCTGATTTTGTTTTTGTTTTTGCTTTAGATCACAGCATCAGACATGGAGGATGAGCGCCCGGTCCTGGTCATGCAGGAAGAGCTGAGCCAGGCATGCTAACACCAGTGGCCTCACCACCTCTCCAGTCCTTTGCTTCTTGCTAATGTCTGGTGTCAGAGCTTGCAGCAGCAATATTTGCGTCTTGCGGTGTTGCTGCCAAAAATGTATTGTTGAATTTAAATAAAATTGTGTCAATTGAACTGTTGTGTTTGTCATGTTTTTGTCCATTTATTTGCTGAATTAGAATTGGAGTTTGCATTAAGCCTAGTAAGACCATGATTAACTAGTACAGGTGTATTTTATTATGAAAGAAGCTAAAAAAAGAATATTGTGGTCCTCCAGGAGCTGGATTGGACATAGTAAGTAGTAAGGGTTTTGTATTTATATTGCACATTTATTGTGTATGACCATACACCCAAAGAGCTTCACAATCATGAGGGGGGTCTCTCCTCACCACCACCAGTGTGCAGTATATACTTGGATGATGTGATGGCAGCCACAGAACAATGGCGTCAGTGTGCTCACTGCACACCAGCTATTGGTGGAGCTTCAGTAAGTAACCGGACTTGGGCTGCAGCATGATATAGCTGTGGCTGTGATATTTCTGCACTATGAATATATACAAGTGAGAAACTGCATTCTACATGATGCCCTGGTTGCTGACTTGTGTCACTGAAAGAGACATATCAGTCTTTGAAATGATGGAAGCATTGATCTATAGATAATTCAATATCTGCATCAACACATCAACAACAAAAAAGCATGTTTGGAAGTATTAGCAGAATAATAAAAATAATTTAAAAATAGAAAGGAATGTGGTTGAGAATCAGCTGATTAAGCCATAGGAATGAGCCCTTCTAAAAGAAACGTAGTGACAATCTTTCAAGCCAAGATCCTGAATTAATTTCTTTCAGAAAACAGGAAAATTGTGAGTTTGAGTATTCTTGTATGTGATAGAGATGTGAAGTCTCTTATAAAATAAAACATTCATAATAATCTCACATTTTTAGTTGAATATGTTTAACACGAAGATCAGTTAACAAATGTCACTTTAAGCTGTATAGAAGTGTCTTGAAAAATATCTAGTCAAATATTATTTACTGTCTTCATGACAAAGATAAAATAAATTGTTATTAGAAATTAGTTATTAAAACTATTATGTTTAGAAATGTGTTGGAAAAATAAACAGGTGGGCTAATAATTGAGAGGGGCTAATAATTCTGACTTTAACAGTTATACTAAATATGACAAAACTTCCGTTTTGGCTAATAATAATCTTCCTTTGATTGACAAATCTCTCATTAACCATAAGTTTAATGTTTGTTTAATTTGCTTAATAATTGGTGTAAAATTCAGATTACTTCTCTCTTTTTGATCTTTACAAATTTTTAGACCCAAATATTCTACAATTTCCTTTACTGAAACACCATATATATTAGTATCATTGCATATTTTCACAGAGAACACCAAACATTTTTTTCATATTTAAGCATAAACCAGATGCAGACGAAAAAAGATTGAGGCAATCAATCAACCTTTTAGTTCTGTCTCTAAAATTCTAATGCCACAAAATGTATATCTTTTGATATGCAGGGCCTTAGTTTGTGTTACAAGTAAGAAAAGAAAGGGTGAAATATAGGACAACCTTGACATATGACCCTCTTGATTTCAAATCTTGATGTTTTTCCATGTGATAATTTAATTTAGTTTAAATAAAGCCTTTATAAAATAATCTTCAAAGCCAAAATAAATAAGAGTCTTAAACATAAAACTATTATCAATTGTATCAAATGCAACAAATAAAATAAAACTATTATCCAAAATAATTCATTGTAATCAATCAAATCTAAAATGAGTCTTATATTACTGGACATGTGTCGCCCTTTCATAAATCCTGATAGACATACATCAATAATAGGGTCTTTCTGCAAATACGAGCAAATATTTTTGCCTCATTATTAATAAGTGTAATTGGCCGCCAATTTTCTAAACATAATATATCCTTATTAAGTTTAGGTAATAAAGTTATCACTCCTTGTCTTAATGTGTTTGGTAAATAACCTTGCCGGACAGCCTCTCTAAATACAGCTAACAAAAATGTTGCTGGTTCCTTTTGAAAATATTTATAAATTTCACTGATTAAACCATGGTTCCCATGCAGGTGTCTTATTATCTTTGAGTTTGAGTTACTCTGATTCAGTACTTCATCCTAAGTAATATCTTGGTCACATATTTGAACTGAGGACTCATCTATCTTTTGAACGTCTTCTTTAATATATTCTAAAAATGACTGAGTATTAATCAATTGGTTATTATTTGAATATAATTCCTCATGAAAGTCTGCCACATATCTTGATATTTCTTTAACGCTTTCTATTAACTTTCCATTGATATTCAATTTGACCATAGCTGTTATTTCTGCATTTCTTTTTTCAGTATTAAAAACACTTTGTATTCTTTTCTCCTTCCTGTAACCATTTTATTTTTGATCTCATGAATGCGCCCTTTGCTTTATAGATTTATCTCATTCTAATTGTATTTGCATTAATTTCTTTTTTCCTTCTCGTTTTATGTTATAATTTCCAGAGAGGCTCATAATTTCACTTATAATTTTTTTCTTCTGTTTCACTTCTATATTCTGCTCCCCCCTTTCTTTTTAGCTAGAGTTCTAATGTTAAACTTCATTAGTTCCCAATTATTACCAAAATGATTAGTTACATTTGCCTCATTCCGGCTATTTATAATAATATACTTTGCTTCCTCTCTAAACTGTACATATGTCAATATATTTTTGTTAGTTTTCCAATATGAAAGTTTTTTTTTTATTGTTGTGTGTAGTTGTATTAAAGACATTATAGAAACCTCACTAACAGTCTGTTAAATGTCTTGAAATTAGCCAATAGTCAATACACGACTGCTGAAACAGACTTTTATTACACCAAGTAAACTGAATTTCTTCAGGATACTGTTGTCTCTATATATCAATCAGGTCAAAGGTATAACATAAACTGTTCAATTCTGGAAGAACAGATCTATTAGGACGAGGCGGCAAACAATCTTTTACAGAATCCCATATTGTGTTAAAGTCCCCACTAACATTTTTATATATTTCCACTACTTTTTCAATTTGGTCTTCAAAATTCAAAAATAAAGACTTGTTTTGTGTGCTACTATTACTTGCATAAATATTTCCTGACACAAAAAACCTTCCAATGACCCATATTATTCATCGACCTGAATTGTGTATTTTTGTCTGAACAATTTTCCCTTTGAATAAACCTCTCAAAATGGCAGCACCTGCTGCGCGGTTACTCCCATATGACATCCATATATCATCCTCCCACTGGCTTTTCTAAAAGTTATAGTCTGACAAGGATGCAAGTGTTTCTTGAATGAAATAAAAATAACATTTACATTTCCGAAAAACAAAACAAAAAAAATTGCTTTCCTTTTTTAAAACCGACAAAGCTACCAACATGCTTTATTACCGACACCTAAAACTTACCAAATAAAGCAACCACGTTTCCAACACCTCATAATATAACTATTTCTCAAAGCAGACAAAACTATAGTTACCTAAATATAGATAATCAAATAATAAACAAATAAAGATCATAATTCATAAACTGAACTTTTGTGTTAAATGTATAAAGCAAATGACGACTGCATGTAGCAATCGGATCTTAAATGCAGCGATTTTTTATGGGATGACAATTAACCAGAAGTCTTGGGGCTGGCTGACTGAAATTAAAAGTCTGTGTGCTTATAGCCCATTTAAAGGCTTAACTAGGTTAATTAGGTTAAGTAGCAGTTTAGGTTAATTAGGCAAGTTATTGTACAATGATGGTTTGTTCTGATGACAGTCAAAAAATGTATGGCTTAAAGGGGCTAAAAATTTTAACCTTAAAATGTATTATTTATTTATTTTTTTAATTAAAAAACTGCTTTTATTTTAGCCGAAATAAAACAAATAAGACTTTCTCCAGAGGAAAAATAATTATCAGACATGCTGTGAAAATTTCCTTGCTCTGTTAAACATTATTTCGGAAATATTTAATAAGGATAAATTTAGGGAGGCTAATAATTCTGACTTTAACTGTGCGTCTCTTGCATTAGATGTTTAACAATCAGTCATAAAAGAGGTGGATAACATTTTGTTAAATTTCATATGGAGGAACAGACCACAATATTTAAAAAAGACAATTTTGTGCAATTCAGTTGATGATAGTGATAGTCTCAATGTTCTTGACTTCAGCACTTCTAATTGTGTATTAAAAAACAAATGGATTAAGAATTACCTGAATAATAAAGGCTGAATTTGAAGCATCATCCCTGAATTACTTTTTGACCTGGTGGGGGTTTAGAATATTTTAAGGTGTAACTTTGAAATTAACAAATTAAATTTCCTCTTTCATAAACAGGTTTGCTTACTATGGATGCTTATTTATAAGCATAATTTTTCTCCACATAAATCAGTGAAACAACAAATGTATAACTTTTAAAAATAAATCCTTATTTTATAGAAATTGGTACAATAATGTTATTAAATTGATAAAACAGTTATTTAAAAGTAATAGACAACTTTTAATTATTGTGAATTTATTTCAATTACAAGATCCCCATAACTGCTAAAGAATTTGCAATAGTATTTGATGCAATTTCTAGTGGACTTGTTCAGTTCTTATTCGGTAATTTATTCACTGAATCAAATCTTTTACATACTAATAAGTATCAATGGTGTGAAAACAAATTGAATAACTGTTACATTAAAAGGTTTTGCAGAACCACATTGTTGCCTAAAGCTTTTTGAAATTCCTTATTTGAGCAAATTGAGTGAAGAAAAGTTTGGAACTTACCTAGTAAATACTGTCTCACCAATAAAGTTAAAGAAGTGACATCAAAACTAATACATCTAATCTTAATTAGAGGTGGAATCAATAAAACACCTGTTTTTTGAAAGCACAT